AACATTGGACGCACGAAAAGCACAGAACATAGAAACCAGTTTGATGTTCTATATAGACCACGTGAAATATACAGGTATAAGGTATTATGTATATATTTAAAAAAATTATAAATTATTGATTCTTCTTTTCTGGCTGTACAACCTTATGGTTAGACAAATGGATTCCGATATTATGTTAATCCTACGCGAGGAATTGGTAATCAAATATCCATTACCAAGCGATGATATTGGCAAGCGAATTGGTTTGCTTGAATTTCGTTTTATTTTATATGATTTGGTCTGTAAATTAGAGTCGATTAATAATGCGCAAAAGTTAGAAATTGAGCTGCCATTACAACATGTTGCGAAACCCGAATATTTCATGTCCGATTTATCCAAATTTTTGCAAACTATATTGAAAAACATGAAAAAGGTGAGCAAATGCAACTTTTGAATTTGCGATAATACTATTTAATAAAATTCCAGCTTTCGAAAGAGATCAACACACAATTGGATCTTGTTAAGCATGTCTATAGTAATGGAGATCTTTTTGCCACCGATTTTAGTTATATAAAAGTTTGTTTTAATCTATGTGTACGTTTGTTGGCAATTTTCTTCTCTTGGCCGCAATTCAGTGATGGTAATGCTACGGAGACGCTTTTGAAAGGTAATTCAAATAAAATGCATTTTTATCTTGAGGCTATTTCAAGTACTCATATTCAATGTTTCTATATAGAATCGTTGCTTGTGCTGTTAGACGAATCTAAGCGGAAAAGCTTTCATAAAAAACCAGCTGCTGATGTCGCCGCCGCTGTTTTTGACATTATGCTTGCGTTTGAAAGCTCTATAGTTGATTTGAAAACCGCTGTGTATTTACATGATCTGCTGAAAGTACTAAAACGTTTCTCTAGTATAACGTCTACCAATAAAAGCAATGAATTAGAGCAACGTAAAACATTGTCTGAAAATCATGAGAAAGATATACGTTAGTATTTTCAAACATATTCTCCAATATAAATTCTATATATTTTAATATACAAAATTTTCAAGGTGCTTTGTGTAAGAAATTTTTACAACGAAAGTGGTTTAGTTATGACGGCATTGCGGAGAAGGGTGCAACATGCAATATATATTTGGATATTCTGGTAAAAGAGTTTATTAAGAATTCCGATTTCGGTCGTTTGCGCAATATTTTATGGGCTTTACTTGAAGAGTGTAAACAACTTAAGGGCAAGGATAATGCACTGAAATCGTTTCCAAATTTCAAAAAGTGAGTAGCACAAAATGCTTAAATTTTTTTGCTGAAATTTGTATCTTTATAGAGCAAATTTTCCATTACTCTTTCGAGCGTTGTGTGAAACGACGGTTGCTTATCTTTGTGAATCGGTAAACCAAGGTGCCAATCAAAAGACGGACAAAATGAAGATGTGGGAGAAAAGTTGTGAGCTTTTCAATGTGTTGCTTGACATTGTTAAATCGCTAGAGGTGCCAAGAAATTTTCAAATATTTTTAAAGGTAAGCATTTAATATATTGTGCATATGTTCGTAAATTCATTTTAATTTAATTGATTTATGAATTGTTTTTTATATAACCTTTTTATATATATATTTTGTTTTTACCAAATCTTTCAATTTTAATTTTATATTAATATTGTAATTTTTTTCCTTTTTATTTCAGTCTGCCCATGTATACTTGAAACTATTTCTACAGCATGGCCTACGTGTGTTAGATCACTTGTTACGCGATGATCCAGCTCGTGTTAGTGAATTTTTGAAAAACTTACAAACAGTTACCCGTTTTCTACATAATTTATGCTGTCATTCGAAGGTAAACGAAATAATAATATTGTATATGCATGTAAGAGATTTGAATATGCGAACTCAAAATAATAACTGTAATTTTAAAGCATAAGTATAAGCGGGAAAAAACAATATCTATGGTTGCGCTGAAGCTATAATAACCTTCACAGACAAACCTCGTGATAAACTTAATATGACCTGTTCAGGTTATAAAAAGGAATTAAACAAAGTTGTTGACCGACTCTACAAATTTTTAGTATCAAACCTACCTTTTTGTAACCAAATTTTAATATATCTTATTTTATTTGCCAGGTCACCCATTTTAAAGTTAACTGTTTAGATTGTTTTTCGATACTTTTTGAAGTTCAAAATAATTTTTTTTAAATACTGTTATATGTAAATGATTAACGAATTTTTTGAAATTATTACTGCCAAAAGTGTATCGAAATATCTTACTAACGAATAAAAAAAATTTAACGCACTTCTAGGCGCTTCAAAATACAGCAATAATTGTGCTAATTCCGGCACTACGTGAGACCGTTGAAACATTAGTTTTTCGTGTGAAAGCGCTAATGACAGCCAATAAATGTTCTTCTGTATTTACAATGGGCAATTTGAAGAATAAGGACATTCATGGCGATGTAATCTTGTCACAGGTAAGAAGTCATGTATACATATACTCAATTAAAATCATTTAACTGTTGTGGAACAATAACTTACTAACTGCACTGCATACTTTGACTCTCTTAAATCTAACTAACCTAAAATTTTATTTAGGTTTTTTTTATTTCCATTCTGTCAAATACAATTCATATAAAAGCTTATATAGCTATCTCTATTTCTGTACATATAACATATGCTTTATTCTACCAAATACTATAAAAAATATCAAAACAATCTAAATTTCATTTTAATCCTCAGAGCTAGGATCACTTCTTGCTTACTCGTTCAACTAGCATTACAAAATTCTATTCCATATTTATTATTATTCTGTTTAATGAGGTGCTTGGTTATTTATAAGGAATATACTTGAATACTTAAAGGGTGTGCTATCTTTTATGCCGGTACATAAATGAAAATTAAATAAAAAAGCAATCGTTTTTTATTTGAGGCATTTTTGTTTATTTTGGTACTGTTTATATTGACCAGATCAAAATGTGGATTCTTGCAACACTCTCTGTCCATTTAAACTCAAAATAATAAATAATAAAATAATAAATAATAAATAATAAAATAATAAATAATAAAATAATAAAGTAATAAATAACAAAACAATCAAATAATAAATAATAAAATAATAAAATAATCAATAATAAAATAATAAAGTAATAAATAATAAAATAATAAATAATAATATAATGATCAATATTTTTTTTGACAATATGCACATTGAATTCACACGACTATTTTCTTTATGTATAACGTAACCATTTCCGTGCGTTTTTCCAGTGTGAAGCGATTCAGGATCGCGCTGAGATGAGGTTTCCAAGATATAGCTAACCAGCCCAAATATTTAATAAATGTCACAGATATTTAATGTTTAAAAAATTGAAAGCACCCTATAGTATAAATGAACTTTTTTTTTCCAAAATTAAAAATTTACAAAAAATGGATAGTGCCGCTGTATTAGAGAGTTTTCGCGACAATTTTACTTAAATATTTGGCGATACAATAACAACAATATTGTAACTTATAAACCAAATTCTTCAGTTGGAGACCATATAAACAAAAAAATTGTTTAATAAAATTTAAATAACTGTAATAATTTAAATCATATTTTCATGTCCATTTCCTTTTTTAATTTATTTATGAGATTTAGAAACGTGTTTTACTTGAAAAGAGTTGGTTATAGGCCAGTGCTAAAGCCGCTGAAAGTGGTAAAAAGTAAAAAAAAAATTTAGTAGAATAAAACCCATTGGAAAAATAATTTACAGGCGATCTGATGTCGATTGAATTTTTACGAGTTCAAACGGTTTGTCTCGATTTCCGACAAAATTTCGAATTTTTTTTCACATGACCTCCAAACTTATCTGAAAATTCCAATAAGCAAGCGTTTAATTTTTTTTTTTTACTTAAAACCGAAAAATTTCTTTGACGAAATTTAAATGAATGTATTGCATATCATCACCTCATATCTGTTAATTATAATCTTACTCCTTTATCCGCTAAGTAGCAGTTTGATTTTGAACTATATACTTTACTTTTGCGTGAGCTTTTTCCATATTTCCATTCGTCATAGCACCAAAAATTTCATTTGTACTTACTTATGTATGCATGTAAATATGTATGCATTTAATTTTAAAATAAAATATTTGTAAATTGTCACGCATACTTATAAATATTTTACAGGGTTCACTCGGCATTGGTGCACGAGAACACGATAGCGAAGAAGACATACCGGACGATGATGATAGTGTTGACGAAACAGTATTAGACGAAGATGAAACAGCTACCACAAGAGAGAGTGTAGCTTCTACCAATACCAATAATAATCGTAGTAAATCTTCATCGCGAAGCAAATGCTTTTGATCGCATTATTGTGAAATTCGAGCGCTTGGTTTTTTTCTTTTTATTTAATAAGTTAAATACATACATACATACATATGTATGTTACAAGCGCCTAATCGTGTTCTTGGCGTCTTTGTTTTGCGAAGTTGCATATTAACTCTCAGTTAATGTCGCAAGCAAGCATTAATTTTTTTTTGGTAAAAATATTTTCTAAAATCTTCTAATATGCTAAATTTTATGTGTATTTATGTTTTTTGCCTTAATGGATAAAGAAAAAAATATTAATTTGTGTTCCATTTGTTTTTTCTTAAAACTCTTTTTAACAGTGTTTTTACGTGTTTAAACAATAATAAACACGAATTAAAGTGTCTAATTTCTCAATGCTTTTTTACTTCAAGAAATTTTTATTCGTTAAACTCTATATTTTTCATTAAACATTTTCTATTTAAGTATGAATACAAAAAAAGTTTTTTTTTTTTAATTTACGCTTTTTGCGCGGTTTCCAGCTTAACGACAAGTTTTGTTGCTTGGAAACATAAAAATTTAGTATTTTGTCTTTGGTCCTACCTAACAGCGTCAAGCGCGTTTTAAATCTATAGAAATGCTATTATTAAATGAAAAATATTTTGAAAGTAATTTCTTTTTTTTTTACTTTGCGCCAGCAACCATCTGTACTCACGATATTTCCACCCGCGCAATAAAAATATTTCGAGTTTTGTTGGTTTCATGATCGCTTGCGATCTATTTTTTATTCCATTTATTTAAAACTACTGTGTGTATATGTATACTTTGTAAACTATGTTTAAGATAATTTTGTTTTCCATATAAACTTAAAAATATATACGTATACGTATTGTAAGAATTTAAAATAATATGTATTTAATTGATTACAAAATATAAATCTCCACTTGTTTATCATATCTCATCTAACAACATTAAACGTGGAGTATTTTCACACATGCAATTGTTTACAATTGGAACAACTAAAGAATGACACCTTAATATACTTATACTTAATACAGGTATACTATAACTTGCTGCTTAAAATTTTAAACAATTAACAATTAACAAATGTAATAAATGTATAGATCTCGTAAGATGATTAATTGAAGTTTCGTAGTCTATTAGTGGACAGTCCACGCTTCAGAGCGCGTTTCAGCTTATCCTTTATCTTATTTAGTTTCTCCAGCTCTGCATGCCCCAGAATATTTGCTTCATACAGTTCGTTTTCTAGTCGTATTTCCCTCTCCTCGCGCAATTTGTTCTTTCGGCGCGATACACGACTCGCTTCATTATTCTTGGCACGATCCATCAGCTTCTTACGTTCAGCCTCGGGCATTTTCAACAATTTTGAGGGATCTGGTTGGTCGCTGCGCGTTTTAGCAGGACGTCCCCGTTTCTTTTTGTTACTGTTCATCTGCTGATTGGTTGAAATGTTTGATGGTGCCGGTGAGCTGGGCGTATATTCATTGGTATATGTTGATGTGGAGGTGTAACTGTGCGGCGTTGGTGGCAAATCTTCTTCGTTGTATGTGAGCGGATGGCTTCTGGGATCTTGTAAGACTTCTACAATGTCATTGATGCTAGTTTCACCGTAATTTGTAGAACCAATAGCCATTTGTTCGACCTGCAAGCAGAGAGAATGCAAATTGTAAATTATTAAAATCAAAAATTAAAAAAACAAAAGGTGAAAACTTATTAAAAAAAATATTAACAATTATTAAAAAAAAAATTGTTTACATTTATTAAAATTTAAAAAAAAAATTGTTTACATTTATTAAAATTAAAAAAAAAAATTGTTTGCATTTATTAAAATTAAAAAAAAAAATTGCTACCCAGAATTAAAATTACAAAAAAAATTTTTTAAAAATTATTAAAAATAAAAAAAAAACCTCATATATAATATAATATTACGTTTAATAAAGCAGATCCCGAATTGTAATACAAAGAAGTTGCTAAGTAGTGCATTCTTGCAAGCCTGTTGTGAAATTAAACTTCTGTGCACAGTAAGCAATCGCAAGCTACTAACTGAACTAACCAACGTCACACGACCACTAAGCGAAAAGCATGACGCAATCCATAAAGGCAAAGCTGAAAACTCTCTAGTCAGTCGATTTGTGTCGTATTGAACAAGGAAACAAAACAAAACACGAACGTACGAAAAAAAAACCGAAATGTAGTTAATAAAAATTAACGTACCTGTAGATCCACAATACCACCGAGTACGGTTGGTGTCGACAGTGGATCTGCTATCGGTGCAGATGGTAGATGCAATTTCAAACGCTTTTGTTGCATACGACTACTATTTGATGGCAGTGATGACAATGATTGTATACTGATGGGTGTTGCTATATCCATATCTGTCGCTATTTCTACGAACATATTTTCATCCTCACATGGTACTTCGTCGTGTTCCTCGATTTTCGGAACTATGGGCTCTAAATGATTGAAATTAACGGACAAGTGTTGACTGTTGCTCGGTGTGCTGCTACTGCATGGCAACATTGGATCCTGTGAATTATTCAACAGAGTATCGTAATCCAAACCATTGAAATTGACCGCCTGCTCACTACACTCGAACCATTCAGGCATAAAATCATCGATAGCTGTCGAAATATCCGTGCTCATTAAAAGATCATTGCTCAAATCAAATTGTGATAAATTTTCTGAATTCTCATATTTAATGTTTATAGGTTGTTGCAACAGATTATTAATGGTGTTGCTGTTATTATTATTATTAATATAGTTGCTGTTGTTATTAATGCAGCTTAAAAAGGTGTCATCGATGTCGGCCATGTCGATGCCGCTGTTGTTCAAAGTATTGTTACTCATGCTGGTGTTGCTAGAGTTGTTATCTTTGTTGTTATTATTGTTGTTGTTGTTAAAAGTTTCTACGTCACTGCCGTCCAGAAACAATTCCATGTCAAATTCAAAATCTACAAATCCGTTGCCGTTTATGATATTGTTGTTGGCGTTGCTGCCGTTGCCGCTACTGATGCTATGGCAAATATTGCTGTTGCTGCTGCTGCTGTTGCTGCTATTGCTGCTGATTTGGCTGTAGTTGTTGATATTGTTTGCTGCTTCAGTATGCGTAGCCGCTGGCTGCTGTAGATATTCTATATATATTTTATGGGAGATAAGATAATTTAAGCGTTAGTTACAGATAATCCTTGTATCAAATATTTATTTACATAATTTTTATTAATTTGTGCACGCACACACTGACATGATAACCGACTGACCGATGTAGTTAGATAGCAAAATCCTGTTATAACACTGAAACATTATTTACAAAAAAAAAAAATAATAATAAAATCTAAAATCCTGTGAAGAAATGGACATATGTATGTGTCTGTATATATATGAATGCATTTGCTCCTGCAGTTTTTACGTACATATTATATGTTTGTGATTTGATTGTTTCTTTGAGAATTATATTTGAGAAAACTAAAAAAAAATATATACATACATACATATATTTTTGGGATTGCGTATAAGAGTGATATATATGTACATAATTATAACATAGAAATCTGATTCTGATTCTAGTTTGCGTTTGCTGATCAAAACTCATATTCCACGTACCTTATTTTCAAATACAAAAATTAAAAAAAAAATCTGTTGCTAGACAATTATTGTATATATGTACAGAAATTTTAAGGGTATATGAAAAAAACAACTAAATTATGTTTAATGTTAGAAATAAATTCAAGAAAAAATTGACTTTTGTCTTTTTTTCAACTCTTTTTCTGAATTAATTATTTTATTAAAAAACTTTTTTTTTTGTTACAAATAATTAAATTGATGTTTACTGTTAGATTGCATTTGAATTTTTTCACATTTTCTTAAACTCATTATTTTATTTCAAAAAATTTAAATTTTTGTAAGAAATAATTAAATTTTGATTTTTTTGCTGTTGGCTTTTTGGCGAACACGCACACACATTTGCTTGAATAAGGAACTTTATCAGGATGTCTTAAATATGAAAGGCAAAACATTCAAATTAATGAAACGATTTTTTTTTTTTTTTGAAATTGAACACAAAATATATTTTGTAAATTTTTAATTTATTTAGTCAAAAGTATTTTATTTTTTAAATCACACTAATGATTCCGAAAAATTGCAGCATAGTTTTCAGCGCACCTTTATAAGAAATCCAATTGTAATCCGTTCTATAGAGGAGTATGGCACTTAATAAAGCTAGGTAATCAGAAGCAAAGTCATTTGTGGTTGCTCGATCGTACCTTGCAGAGCACGCATACATACGTACATTAAAAAATAACCGGCAAATATATGCCCTTGTTATCACGCTCTTATACAAGGTCGCATTTCTATTGTTGAGAGTGCAGTTTTTGCAATGCAAGTCTCCAACGCACACATGCATATGTATATATTTTTGTTGTGAAATTTCAAATTCGCTGGGCAGCAAGAAAACGTAACTTGTTGAAGCGAAAAATAATGATTTAAAAATTTCGTGCTGAATTTTGGTAAAAATGAAAAAATTCTAAACGTTTTTTAAGCGGAAAAACTAAAAAGGTTTTTAATGAAATATAAACTACTTATATTTAAATGCAAAATTATTAGCGGTGACACACAACGCATTTACACTTCCAAATATACAAATTTATATGTACATATGTATGTGTATTGGTTTCGACACATGCTTGCGAGTGTGCACTTCGATTTACTCTTTTTGCTCTTAATTTTTCTCTTTTCCAATGCAAATCTCAATCATTTGCACTGTATCTAGCTGTTGCTCTCTCAAAATTTTTGCAAATAACCCTGTTAGGTCGCAGAGCTTTCTCGTGCAAACGTACATTTCTGAGTCATCACCAACAGCCACTTTGCGAAGAAAACTCATTCATAGCACAGAAATTGTTCCAGAATATTTGAATTCATATTATGTTGGGTGCTAAGGTGTGCGTATGAAAATTGCTTGCTGGCACGGTGAGCACGTTAAAACATGTTTGTTTTGATTCTAAACTTGCTCTGTATGAATGCTTGTGAAAAGGTGCGCAACAGCTGATGGCTTTGGATATTGTTTGACTTTTGGTGGAAGTAAAAGTTACGTGGCTCACATGTTTGTACATATGTATATGTAAGTAATGTGCTATATGTAAATGTCCAAACAAATTTGAATATAAGTATGTGTGTGTTCGAAATATTATCTGAAAATGGTTGTTCAGAAAATATTGCATGCGATTTCGGAAGTACCGGACATTAAGATGTATTACACACACATAAATATTACGCATAAACATACATAAGTACGTATGTACATATGTACATGCTTGCATGTAATCTAATGACAAATATCGAATCCAATGACATTTAGTACATGAGTTTCATTTTGAACGTTAGAAAGAAAACATTTCCTTCTTACCTACATATCTGCACATATTTATGTAGCATGTAAGTTAATTAGTATGTTATGTATGTATGTAACAAAAAAATGTTAAGTCACTTGCAACATAAAGTTGCATTAAAATGTTTAAATTTTTCTTTGCAGCTTTCGTTTTCGAATAATTGAACTCGAAAATTTATGCAAATATTTTTCATTTAATAAGGGTCAAATATTTGGAAAAAAGATCCTAAAGACGCAAATCAGGGGCATTATACGTTTTTTTTTAAGTTCCAAATTTTTCGAACTAAAAAAAACATACAAAAAACATTACATACACACATTATCGTATATGTATTTATTTACATATACTTATGTGTGTACATTTGAACCTCAAATGTTTGTTCTGTATATAATATTTCGGACGCACAAAAAAATCACAAGTCATGCTGTAAAAAAAAATAAGTCAAACTTAGAATCAACCAGCCACAATATAAATATGTACATAAATAAATATGTATGTTTTCAATGTTGCATTTTATTATATTGTAACCCATTGCAGCCAATTTCAAAATATCAAAATCTATTTGAATGTGTAAATACCTTGAGCTGTGCCGCTGCAAACGATGTTACTTCCTTGACTGCTGAAATAACTTTGAACAGCAAGTGAAGTATCGTAAACAAATATATGGCATTCGTTCACGTCAACGATAAGCAGAGTGGCTGGTTGACTAGCAGTGCAGTTGGGAGGAGAAATCGTTCACGTGCGAACAAGAATGAACACGTTCGTGCCTATGGTGCTGCTCTACCAATACAAATGAGTGCCGGCGCGCGCAAATTTCAAAGGGGAGAGCTCCAAATGTATAGCAAGTGTAAGATTGGGAGAAACGACACGACACGAGAGAGAGAGAGAGAGAGAGAGAGCGAGAGAGATGGGTCTGTTGTGGCACAACTATTAGTATAGCTGTCACTGCTTGCGTATTTGTTGTGCCCCCTTCAACAACAATTGGCGGAATTGGAGGTGTTTTAGAGCGAGTGGGTACAATATCAGGTGGTGATCATGAAAGAGATTTTTCAAGCAAACTTACATTCATACATACGTACATATATATTGACTGATGCGCTAGTTTGTGTGTTTAGTTCAATGGACGTGCCTCTTTGACGCGCTATCAGCTGTTGACATTGTCATCAACTAGAGGGGAGTCAAACTATGAGTGAATTACTGTTATGTTATATTATGTTAAGCTACTTTTCACATCCCTTTCTAAATTATATTGCTAATTGTTGTCAATAGGCGTGAAAAAGATGTACACATTGATGTAAATAGCAAATGTGATGTGTTTAACAGCGTGCTGAGAAATCAATGTTTCTAACAGCACTCTTTAAAGTGGTAGGCAGATGGGGCATAATTTTGAATAAAAGCTAACTGTTGCATTTTTTATTAGGGGCGATATACATATGTATGTGTCTATTGATCTGCGTTAGTTATGAAATTTTATAAATGAATTTTGTGTGTGTGAAAATATAAAAGTGTGACTTTGAAAAATGATACGAAAATTTTTCTGATTCCTGTTTTAAGCGCTGTAACATTTTATGTAAAATATATGTACATATGTACAAGTATGTATGAATATAATTGTTACATATGTATATGCATAAAAATTTTCATCCTCACTGCCTAGGCCTGGAGTAGCAGAATACCTAGCTTTGGTGTTTTGGCACATAAAATGGCGGAAATTGATCATCCGTCTAAGCCATCTTGTTTTTAATGCATTTTGCTATAACACGAAGTGTTTACTACAAAATGGCGATTTGCGAAAATGGTGAATTTTTCGATGGGGGATTCTTGGAAAATACAAAAGGTGTAAATACATACCTACATGAGTTAAAGAAAAAAAACAATCTAGATATGTGTTGTATCTAAATATGTATTGTATATATACAGATATATGCATGTAAATTTATTTTTAGATCTGTATTTCTCAGCTGCAGTTTACACTAGAATTCTAGGAGCCAAACAGCATTTATTTTCAAATATCAAAAAATAATATCTTCAAAAACAAGTAATTTTCAAGCACAAAAGTCTAGAAATCACGAAATACTTAGTATACTTTTGAGTTGGGGTAGTATGTTAATGTTGTTGGGGCTATACTTGGCTCTTTCGGTCGCAATATTTTTATATTTACATATATATATATGAACTGCCCAACATACATAAAAACAACTGAGTTGCGTTTCTCTTCCGTTTTTACTGACCTACATTGGGAGTGTGAAACAGCAGTAACTCTCTGCTGATCATAGTTTGGACTCACTTCATGTTAACATATCAAAATGCAAGTGTTGCGAGACAAAGACACACACTACATACATATGCAATTGATTAAGAGTTGAAGGCGCTCATGGTCTCCCCTAAATGGGGAAGTAAACACGCATTTACGAAAGAGAAGTAAATAGTTTTTTATGCGTGAAAGAAGACGAATAGGCCAACAGCTCGTCTTTCGGCTTGTATTTTTGTTATCCAAAAACGAGAGCAGAGCATGGACATGTGTTGAGGTGAAACGTGAGCGAAGATGTTTGAAGGGTAAATGAATTTCACAAGAAGGGATTTGCAAAATTTTGAGGTTAGTTTCGATTTCATTGTCAATGTAATACTTATTGCGGCTTTTTTTTGAGTAAAACTTAAGCGACTACTAATAAATACTTGAAGTACTTATATTGTACTCGTATGTAAATACTTGAAGTATTTATGTAAGGAATTATACATACATACATATGTGTGTAGCATAAAGTTTTTAAATAGTTCTGAATTAGATGCGCTTGAATTTTTAAAAGAATTTTTAGCTGAGTGTTGGACATATTTTTTCTCACATTTTAATTAAATTGTATTTACCTAACGGTTAGTGTATTGAAATTTACATTTTCATATGACTTATGTTCAATAATGTAATTTTGATAAGAAAAATAAATTTTTATCCATTAGTTCGTTTTTTGTACTTTAGTTTTAGAGAGCTTTTGCACGACTGTTGTAGTAAATAGTTTCGTTGGTATGAAAATATATTTAACATTTGAATTTTTAGTAAATTGCACACATAAGTGTTTTTATGTATATGTATACATATATGTATGTATGGTAGGTATGTCAACAAGTATTGTCACTGATCTGTCGCTCTACTAGGCGTATGAGCTTCGTGCTTGTAAATACGTATACGACACGTCACAACACTCGTAATAAGGGAGACAGGTATTGTACAAACAAAATATAATACATTTTCAATCAGTTAACTGACAATATTTTTTAGTTGGTTACAGGTGAAAATTAGGTAATGAAAAGATACAAATATAGACATATGAGAGGGTAAGTCTGTACGAAGAAGTACTCGTACATACCGATGCGTGTAGGCACAAACAAAAACTTTGGTAGTTTTTGTATATTTTTAATTGGCCCATCAGTGCACGATAGACAAAGGCCATGAGTCATCTGTTGCACATGTGACTAAAATCGATTGAACGTGATTATTGTCACTAAAACGTTAGATTGAATTCCACAATTACATCTGTATGTAGATATCGAGATTTGCCTAATATTTGCATAATATGTACATACATACATATGTGTATAGATTATATGAAGTACTAAATAGATAAACTAAAAATTGCCGAGTCATTTGACGTTTTTAGGTTTATATTAAAAGTACTTCTCTTTACGCACGTAGCTTTGACTTTACTTTACAACATGAGGTAATTTTATATGCATACATATATGACAATATTTAAATTCACATGTGTACGTGTATTATTTATTGGAAGACACGTCAACATTTGAAAGTGTGCCGAAAGTTAAATTAATCAGTTTTAAAAAATGGCAAAGGAGATATTTACACGATCAGAATTTGGTATATATTTTTGATTAATATATACATACATATATATGTATGTATTGTATGTAAAATATCGTATAAAATATTGAATATATTTAATATATATATATGTATATAATATATTGCAAATATATGCATTATATTTGAAAAAAAAAACAGAGTTCAAGAAAACTTCACCAATTTTATGTTGATTAAATATTTTAAGGGTAAAATTCTTTATGAAATTTGAATATTGTTGTTATAGTATGTACATATTTTAGTCAAGAATTTTTTGCTCTTTATATACTCCTGAATGGCTGTTTATAATAAACTGAGGTTTGTGGAAACGAAATCGAAAACTTGAAGTACTATGTAATTTTATTTCTATTTTTCAAACTGACACTGATCCAGATATTTAAGTTTCTCGTTTTATGTTTTAATATTAAAGCTGAAGACATTTTGATGTTACTTTTTAATTTTGAATGCGCTCTTAGTCTCGAAAACTTAAAAAAAAAAAAAACATTGAAATTTCTATGCTCTATACTCTTTCAAAATTTAACAATACTCAAAAGGTAGATATTTTACTTGAAATGCAACTCTGGGTGTAAAAAAATTTGGAATACAATGAGCGCAATAATTTGGTCAAAGAAATTTCTGTATTATTTTTTTTTGCTCTAGTATTTATTATAAATATTTTTCTATAGATATATTTTTTATATATATATTTTTTTATATTTTCTGCGTAAAATACGCGAAACATACCCAAAAGTAAAAAATTCAAACGTTAAAGCGGATTTTTATCCTGTTCTGAATTGCATGTTCATAGTCCCTTCATACATACTGTTGGATAAGCTAATTTTACAGACCTCCTTTTTATCGAAAAGCATCGAGAAAGAATATTGCTTTTAATTGAAATAGTATTTATTTGAGATAAATACTACTAACAGAACACTAAATATTTTTTAAAAAGTGATTTGTAAAAAAAAAGTTTTCAAAATTTTGGAACAAAATTAATGTATACATATAAATCACACTTCGATGACTATTATCTATGTATTTATCTCAATTCCAAACCAGCAAACATATGTATATAATAATAATTATGATAAGATGGAAAAAAAAAAACAAATTTCTGCTAATTACACAACAACCAACTTGTAGTCGGTGTCGTACTGCTCTGCTCTGCGCCACTGCACTTTGCTTCTCTTGCGCCGACACTGTTCCAAGGGATTCTTCCTGGGTCATTGCACTGTGCTCTAAACATCGCGTACCACCTAAATTGGCATATGGGTCGGTGAAGTCAACGCCGCAGCGCCAGCTCGGCTGGGCACATGCGTTTCGGCCACCAACCATGCCAGCGAACCGGGCGAGTCATTACATACCTTACACACTTACACATGGTATTTACATATCAGCATATATGTAGATACACACGTACGTACATATGTAAATATGCGCATATACATATATGCAATTTTTTTTTATGGTTTTTGTTATGATTTTTGTTTTCACGTAAATACCAGTTAGCATGTTTCTAGGTAAAATGATTAGTCATTTGCTTTTTGCATATAAAATAATTTCGATTTGCACTTGCAACGGTTCATATCGGTATGCGTACACGGTTAACATCGTCATAAACAACACAAAACACAGTACTCACCATCTATGAATACCGGAACATTTATCTCTTCAACTGTAGCAGTAGGCGTTGCTCCACTCATGAACGCGGGCGACATGTGCTCGTCGGCACCTGTCAACTGAATCCCAGCCATGGCGGCTAGTGTTCTTGGTGGTTGCGTTTGCGTAAATTGCACAGATGAATGCGACGATTGTTGCTGTTGTTGTTGCTGTGACGGCGCACACAAATGCGTATAATTGTCTATTATATTGTCGGAGTTTGTCAATATTATCTCCGAATTCTTGTTTTGCTCCTGAATCTGGTTCAGATTGGTTGAATCCAACACGGTCGTATAGTAGACGGTGTCGGTCGACGTATTCACCGTTGGCGTTTGCCTTTGCGTTTGCGTTAATTGCGTAATCGTGTTTGGATTGTTTGGAATTGGTTCTCCTATCACCGTCGGGGACGTTAAGGCTACCAAGTTTGAGTTTTTCTTTATTGGCGAACTCTGTTTCAGTATAGGCAGCGTTGATGGCGAGCCTGGTAAAAAGGGTACCCTGATTGCTGAGGCACTCGCTGGCGCTGTTCTGTTTTGTTTTGCTATTGAGCGTGCTCTTTGCAGCTGCTGTAAGCTTATATTCTTCCTTTGTCTTTGCTGTTGCGTTTGTTGCGACTGTTGTAACTGGTGCGACTGTTGCGTTTGCTTGCGAACTTGATAGATTTTCGGTTGGCCAGTAGTGGGCGCTGAAGTTATCACCAATAATCTTTGCGATGGCTTCAACTGTATCGCTATGGTTTCGTGATCCTCTGTCTCGTTCAGGGAACACAAATTCGTTTGCACTAATGTTGGTTGTTGTCGTTGTTGTTGTTGTTGCTCCTGGATCAATATTATCTTGTTTGAATTTGACGTATTCGTAATCCTTCTTGGTAATGCCGTTGCTGTTGTTGTTGTCCTCGGTAGTACAAATGTTCTTCTGGTTGTTGCAGTTGTTGTTTGATTCGCTTGTGGGCCGTGTTTGGCTAGTCTGAGCGGCGTTGAATGATGCCATTTTGAACAGGGCTATTTATTTTTAGTTTTTCGTTGAGGGTATAATAGAAATAGCAACAACAATGATCGGCGGCAAAACGCAACAAATATTCAATAATTTAATTTTTTTTAATTTTAGATTTTATAAAAAATTTCATTCATCATTGCATTATCATGTGCATAAAATATATCGTTGGGATTCAGTTTTTTCGATTTTTAGTTTTGTTTTATATTTTTGTGTGCGCAAATCAACACCAAGTTTCGACAAACAATTTTTGTATTTTGTATGAGTGGAGCGAACGCAAATTCGATGTGGAAGAAAAATAGATAAAAGAGAAAAATAGTATTAATAAAAATTCGAAAATGCAAACAGAGTACAAAAAAAATCGAACATAATGTTTCATAAACATATTCATTCCATATGAAGAATATGGCATACGATGAAGTATGGAACAAACGGACTGATGTGAGTATGTGTATACTATATACAGCTGTAATACATATATACATACATGGATATGTAAAATAAATAATGATAGTCATTATAAAAATACACATATTGTGTTTTGGCGATTTTTATTTAAAATTTAACGTTGTTAAAAAATACTTGAAGTTCGGACTAACTCAAATATATTTTTCCGACATAAAATAATAATTTCTGACCCAAAAATATTTCTTTTCGATATTGAATAATAATTTCTGACACAAAACTATTTTGTTTCGATATTAAATAATAATTTCTAACTCAAACATATTCTTTTCGATACCAAATCATTTTTTATGCACATTTGTACGAATATGTTTTTATTGCTAAAAATATTTAAAAAAAAATCACAATTTGTATCAAAAAGTTTGCTAACGGTATAAATAACTGCATTATTAGGGATACTAATATTTTTCATATCTTAAAAAGGGAGTTATAAAGTAAATCGCTTTAGTAGAAATATTTATATAGAAATGTTTTTTTTTTAATTTTTCGAATTTTATTTATTAAAATTAAATCATATCATATACATATATCAAAGTCTTTAAAAAAATATGTCTTGAAACTTTGTCCGTATTTATTTGAAAAAAAAAATTCAATATATTTTTGTTATTTAAAAAAAGCGCTTAACTCAATATTGGTAAACTTTGTAAGCAGTAATTTAAATATAGATTTTTTGGTTTAGAAATCCAGGTTTCATAACTTCATTTTCAGTTTAGAAAAAAAAATCTCCGTAGTTGGGGGAGCAAATTTTCAATGAGTCTCCATCTTACTTATTCTCATAATACTTGTATGTAATAATTCATAATAAAGTCTGCTACAGTCTTTAGTACATATTTTATCCACGTATTAATAATATAAAATAAAATTTTAAATAAATTTAGTTTAGATAGTGTGTATAATATAAATTTAAACTTTTTTTTGAAATAAAATGTTTTTAATTTTGTTAAGTGCCGTGTGTATATAAAAATATTGCTTTTTGGTTAATAAAAAATTTTTTTTATCCAATGCATCATACTAATAACAACCTAGAGAGGGCGCTCTTCCCTTAATTAAGCGTTTGTTAGCACACAGAAGTGTTTATAGATTTAGAACGAATTCTTTGCAGAAGAGGAACTAGACTTCTGGATATTTAATTCAAATGACGCATTGGTAACAGTACTGTGGCATATAAATATGTGTTTTTATTTATTTCAAAAGTACATAAACATTTTAACTGATTTCTTTTTCATTAAATATAAATATTCAAAATCATATATTTTAAAATTTTTAGGTAAATCTTTAATTATTTGTAAAGAGACATTAGTTGAAGAATGTATATATATATGGCATATGAAATAATTATGATAATATTTATTAGCTAACGCGTTTTACTTACTTTTAACTCACTGTTATAAAGAAATAAAGAAATTGTAGGGGAACCTCTAAACGGTCTCTGAATAGAGCCTTAGATGTAGTTTCCCTTCAGACTGTAAAGAGAAGAAGAAAGAAAAAGAACACATTTATTTATAATATTTAACATAATTAATATATTATACTACTTTAATTAAAAATGCAAAATTATTGTAAGTAATGACAGAAGTAATCATAAATTACTTAAATTTTCGAGACTGTTGAACACATACATATGTTGGTGTGGACGTACATATGTATATGTATAGAATATATGTAGATTTTTGATTTTATTATATAATATCTGATAAACTATTAAAATGATATAGGAATTTAGGCTGCTATAGCTGAATATCATTTTAGTTTTAAAGTACAGTTATAGATACTTATTTTGTTTTTGAAAATATGTGTCTGTGAATAGAAATACATGTAGTATTTCACAAAACCGTTAGCTTACAAAATGGCGTTTGCCATTTTCAAAAATATAAGTGGATCTACATTGTTACAAAAACCAATACGTTTGAAAATATCTACATATGTATGTACATAAGTATGTGTGTATGTGATGATAGCAGCAGTATAGCGCGTGTTTTCTATCAAAATTGTCTAAATCAACTTAGTTTTTGTGCTTGGTCTAATTGCCACCTGCATGCGCATTTATTATTTTATAGATTCGATAATGTCGTGACTTTCAATTTTGATAATTACATACGGATGTACATATGTACATATGAAAGTGTGTGTGTGTGTATGAGAACAAATATTAAACTATTTGATAACAACTGACAACGAGTGAACTGACGTACTTAAATACATTATTACATACATATATACACACATATTTACATATATAAATGTACAATATACATATGTATGTACATATAAAATATAATCATTCGTATTTATTCGTATTTTTGTGCTTATAAAAGCAATCTGATAATTAGTAGCCTACCAACCAACCAAAAAAACACAAACTGAAGTAAGCAGAAAAATCCCCTCGTAATTACCGTAGTAAGTGCGTATGTGTGTGCATGTGGTTATGTAGGTAAAGGTGATGGCGGCGCGGTTAATAGACTCGTTTGTTGGCAAAAGTTTTCACTGCTTCAGCAAAAATGAATTTCACAACAATCGTCCAAAAGCTGGAAACTTAAGCATGTGCTTTTTTGACGCACACAACAAAATAAATACACCAACCAACTAACACAGATAAAAGCAGTAAACAGACAAGTGTTTATTGTTGTTGCCGATTACACGAAGCCATTTGTATGGGTCGTGTTGATTGCAGACACCATACGACTCCCATACGATACATGAAGTTATATTGTAAAAAATTTCAATTACAAGCAGACAAATAATTATATTTATCAGTTTCAATCATTTTAGGTGTTTACTTGTTTTTGCGTTTTAATGTACAACCGACACCATTTCATTTACGTCAGAAAAAGCTCTCTATGCACGTACAGGCATATGCGTAGCCTCAACGCCCCCTTGGTGGGCAAAGAGTTGTTTTCGAGCTTTCGTTTGCTTATTGTATTGTATAACAACAACGATCGAAGCAAGATTGTGCATGCTCGTGCATGGCATGACATGGCTATTTGTTGCTGATATTACTCATCGAAAGAGTAAAGCGCAAGTTCATTACAAATGTATGCGTGTAGGTAGCATATGATACGAGCAGATACATATACAATGTATGTATGTATGGTAAATGGTAATGGTAATTCCAAGAAAAATTGGTGAGACCATCAAACGTTTGCTTACGTTTAAGTTGCGTACACCTACAGTCGGTGTTGTCCTAGCGCCGAGCGGGAAGATGTAGAGAACACCAACTTAAGTGCCTTGGTTGGCTAAAGGTCAAGAATAATAGTTAAAAATTGTAAATGTGTGAATTCGTACCAACATTTTGCAGCTCTTGTCGTCCAAATATTTTATTTTTGAAAGTTACGATGATGCTAAGCTAAACTACATACATACCTAGTTACTAATTTTTGTACATACTTGTAGTTTGAATATATGTACTTAGTTATAGCATGATGTCATTTTTCTTATTAGGTTCTATCGCTTGAAAATCTCAGTCTAAACAAGTGATGTTTTATTTTTTTTGTGATTTTTAAGCTTTATTCTAAGAGCTGAAGTCATTTTCGGTGGAAAAAACGAAAAATATTTTTATAAATTTGCCTCTAGAAACTTTCCCCCGAAAGCTTTCAATATTATAAAAAGTTTTTTTGATAGTAGGTACATTTTTCCAACTTTTTTAGCATTGGAAGGCTTCTCATAAGAGTTCGACAATTATCTTAATTATTTGTTACTATAACTTATGTTTTTAGCCTTCAAAACCGCCCACACTCAGCTTGTCAGTAAGTGTGAGTGATCAAAGAACTTACGAGTACTATTATTTACTATCATACTGTAGCCGAATGACATTCATTTGTTAAACATAACGCTCAATCATATTAATTCGATAAAATATACATACATTTTTCTACTTAACTACGGTTATTATATAATATACAAAGTCCGACTGTGACTCTGGAGGATATCGTACTGTCTGTTGTCTTAGTTTCACCTTCCAATGGTACCCTACCCGGCTTTCTTTTTGCCAATATGTACGTAGATTTTTTTAAATTATTTCATGCTTTATACTATATACATATGTACATAAATACCTACGCATGTATATACTGTAATATATACTATGGTATTATATACTATTTGATTTATGGTAAAATGGAAACTTACATAAACTGTTTAGAAACCAATCGGTGGGTGTTGTTGTTGTTGACGCGAAAAACCGCGATTCGGCGGACGTAGGAACTACGTCAACCGAAATTACTTTACTACGTTTATATGTCTATAAAATCGGCGGAAATCCGACGATTCCACCAAATACGAAAAACTTTATTACGTTACTTCTTTTGTAAAATTTGCGACTTTTGCGCGACTTGTGCTTGACTTTTTACTTTTTTTTATTTTAAATATTTATAAATTTATGCCACACTTATACTTTTTTCTTTAGCTTTTGCTTCTTTTCGTTAGAGCCTTGCACACTATTGGCGGCGTGCACCCAATTAAGTGCCGTCTATTCGCCTTATAATCTACACAATTTTCTGTATATTTCACAACTCAGTTTTTGCTGAGCAAACACCAAACGTTGGCTTTAGCTACAATATGTAAAATGCCACAAAATATCACCGAAGCTAGCCAAGTCACCTAAATAATCACACGGGGTAAAACACCGTCGGCACGTCAAGTTGCTATACTCCACGAATCTGTTGTGAAATTCAAAATCGACACTCGCTGAACGTAGTCAAAGCACTCATCGTATTTACAAAACATTCACAATGATAACACCACATACATAGCCCCCCTATACGAGTACGATACACAGAGATACGCTTCACACACAGATACTGGGCAAAATTACCACCGCATATGTGCAAGCATATGGGTGTATGTGTGTGAATATTTTGAAGAGTCAAAGCGAAATAATGGCTGGTGGCAAACCGGTTTTTTTTCTTCTACATTGTGTGTATACATTAAATTCCCTGCAAGTGCCGGTGATGGGATGAAATGCTAAAGCTGATTAAAACCGGCAATGAACGAAGTTTTTGGCGAAGAAAGCCAGAAGTCAAGCCTAAGCAAGAAGTTATTTCTATGATACATACTAAATGTTATTAAATAAGTAGAGACATTTTTAAATAAAAAATACGAGTGATCTTATATTTAAGAATAGAAAAATATTTTAGAAGGAAAACTCGAAAGAAATTATATAAAATAGATAAATTGAATAATTAAAAATAATTTTAGAATATTATGTAGTATGTATAGAAATATTCCTTTTCTGGAAAAAAAAGTTCAGTACGTTAAAAAGTATTTTGAAAATCTGCTTTGAAGTTGCGCTCTAGCATAATTGTTACAAAAAATATATTTTGTGCTAAAAAATACAAATTCGATAGACCTAATACATATACAGCATAATATGGCTTATAACTCGAACCCATTTGGTTATACCATACCTTACTATTTAATTGAAAAGGTTGAATGCATTAATTTTTCCCATCCCTAATTCACAATACTTTCAAATAAAAAGGTCTTTATCACGAATTCGAGTGTCAAGTATTATTTTATCTAAGTACTTTTGATTAAAGTTATAATTTAGGGGCTCGTAATTTATATATTAATATTAACGTCACCAAAAATATTGCATTTAAAAAGCGCTGAGCATGTGGTTAGAAATTTGATGTATAGAATATAGTTTCGATCGATAAGGTATCAATAATAAAACTCTAAAAATTATAAGATGGTGCTGCTAATTCGTATAATTAGGTATATTTTATGCCGATTGTAAAGGCAAAAATTAAAACTTAAGAATCAGTAGAGAAATTTTAATAACTAAATATAAAATTGACATGTTGTTTTTTTAAATACAAAGAGTCTTTTTGAAATTTTACTAAACATTCTTCTTTCAACCAATCTCGGTAGGTTGAAATATGCTTTGCGTTTAGCAAATACTTTCGCATCGGTATTTATAAAAACGAATCGAATATGCCAAGTTTCACTACACTACAATATAGTGGGGAATTTTTTCATGGCAATATGTTAAAAACAATAAGAACAACAGTGCTTTGAAAAAAGCTTTCGCCAACACATGCGCAAAAGTGCGTCGGAAGCACAATAAGCTATGCCAAAGCTTTTAATTAAAAATGGGAAATTTATGCACCACCACACGAGCGCAGTTGTATATGTGCATGTATTAGTGAGCGAAACGCAATTTCAGCAGATGACTCATCTAAGTACCAAAGCGGTGCTCGTCTCTACTCGCTGAGCACACGTCATGTGACGGCAGATTACATACTTGTAGTACATACATATGTACAAGTATGTACGAAATATAATGAGTACTTGAATATTTGGTTAAATAACGATCGAAAAATACCATATTACAATGTATGTATTGGTGGGAGGGGTGGAGTGCAGCTTTTACTTGGAAAATAATAATCACTTTAAGTGAGCAAGTTTACACCTGTGGCATTGCCTAACGAAAATATTGTCTTTCTATTATACTAGAAATAATATTTATTATAAAATAAAACAACTAAATGCCAATTTTAGTTGTACTGAAGCGAATAACGGAATTTTCATAAAAATATATACACATGTGTTCATATACTATGTATACATATATATATATACATACATATGAACATATGTAGTTGTGTACTACTTATTTTGCGAGACGATCATTTGCACTTTCTTCAAGTGTATAAAATGGCGTCTCTCTAACAAATAGCCATGTCATGCCATGAATTTGCGAATTTTTCACAATTCAAATTTTTGTTTGCTTAGTTGCGTGTTGTTTGGTTATACTGCGTTGATATATGTATGAATGTTAATTTGGTTTAGAAATTTTCAAATAATAATAACGGAATCTAATTTCGGAAGAATGTGCACGTAGTCAAATTTAAAAACAATAACCCAATTATATATAAAAATTTGAAGAATTTTAATTTCAAAGAAATTTTTTCGAAATTCATACATAAGGGCAGAACGTTCATATTTTAATTTTGAATATTGATTAAACGGTATTTAGGACATAACACATAAATAATCCAATAATTTTCTTTTAAACACCAAGCCCTTAAGTATTCTTAAGATTAACTGTTAAATATTTTCGTTTCGTATTATTTTCATATGAAATCATATAATTTTTTATATTCAAATATTGTATAAGTATAATTAAAATAAATGCTTACTTGTAATACGTAGAATTTTTCCATGTTTAAAAACTTCAATATGAAAATCTCTAAAAAAATTAATATAATTTATAAGGTTTATGGGCAAATCAAATTGCCTTGTGGTGAAATTCAGAATTCAGCTGAAGTAATCAATTTTTTATATTCGCTTTGTTCAAGCATTTACATACATAAGTCAATATGTAAATATATTAATAAGTTTGTATGTACATAAAGCACTAATGAGCTGACGTCTTATCTGCAACCAAATAAGTATGTATATAACGGTAAAATATTTCAACTTTGAAAGAATTCAGCTTCCCGTTGTTGCATTCACTCTGAAAATAAGTTTTCAAATGTTCTCGATGTGCAAGCCGCTGCCCCTTTTTATACTCCACGATCGTCGGCCACACAAGTGCAAAAGTTGCCGCCATTGAGGGCGAGGAGTCGAGGTGGGAGCTTTAAAGGCTACAAAACTGCAAATATTTCGCTGCAATTAGCCACGTATCTAGCTCTTTGTATATACTTGTATCAAGATATATTTATGCAAACGTTATTATATTGAAGTATAGTTGAGAATTTACATATGTATGTATGTGTACGTATGGTACTTCCCCTGGTGTATTTCTTTGAATTTATGTGCATATATTTGTTGTTGCATGTCATTATTATTAATCGCAATTAAATAGTCAATGCACAATAGAGGAATGTAGTATGAATAATAATAGTGATATTATAATGATTATTACGATCCCCTTGCACTCGTCTTCGCTATCTATGTTATGAGTGGTATCCGATAAGTTCTGGGTTCTAAAAGCTTTGATTTTTATTGGAGACTTTTACACCTAAGAAAATACCGCCTGAGTGTCAAAATTGGCGAACGAGGGATTGTTAGAAAACGTTTTTTACGCCCTCAATCAAGTAGAGGGCGTTGGTCCTTTTTTTTTGAAAATATTTGATAGAAAGTGGGTGAACGAACATCTATATAAACGAATTGTATACTAATTGCTCCCATTTCGGTTTTTAAGATATTGTTCTGAAATTCTGCACAAGTTGTTTGGCTTTAAGAAGCTGCTCATTTGTCGTAAGCGCCAATATCATGTCCTTGTTGGGAATACTTTGCATATGACGAGATATCTTCACGAAGTTTGGCATTGATTATTGTCCAAGCTAACGGTGGAATTTCCGAAGAAATTATCTTCTATGGTTAAAGCTTATAGTTGCCATACAATCTGATCGATCACAAAATCAAGTTTTTGTATAGAATCTATTGTATTCTTGAAGGATATTGTACCAATAGAAGTTAACGTTTCTAATTTTTTTAAATTAACAAAAATTTCATTTGTTTATTTTTGCAGAATTCTACTCTTAAATACGCATCATGAATCCTACTGACAAAGTAAATTAATTGATTTGGGTAATTAATTTATTATTATTAGGGAACATATTAGACTTTCTTATTCACTAATAACAATCTTCGATATCAGTAGAAGCTAATACAAACTCTTCAAATCAAAATACAATAACCTTCGCTTATAAATCGTCAGAACTCGGATAGTGCTGATAGAAAATGCAACTGGTATAAATATAATTCACTGGTATAAAGCAAAAAGAAATAAAAATCAGGCATTTATATAACTTTAATGAGGTAACCACAAACTCTCTTGTAATAAATTCAACTCGCTTAACTTATTATCGCTTTCACTTACGTTCGAAGATAGCGAACAGAGAAATGGCGAATCGAAGATGGCTATTACAGCTTGATTTTTATTTTAAAGCGCATATCTTTTGAGAAGACAGCACGTAAGCTCTACAGAAACCATGGAGTGGCGAATCGAAGACTACTATTAAATTTTTTATGTGATATGTTAAATAGTGAATACTGTATCCAAAATAAGAAAACAAAAACAAAATTTCGCTAACTAAAAAAATTATGATGTTTGTCGTGATATACATAGAGTCTAATTAGCGCATAACCTTTATTATGACATTCAGATTTTGCCAAGTCAGTACTCTAATTTATGAGTATTTGAAACACACGAATATATTTAACTTGACTTCTTAATTAAGGTTTGTCTTTCAAAACAACAAAATCTTTGTAAACAGATAAGAGTTTTATTTTAATATGATTGTTACAAAAAGTTTGAGATCTTTATCAGTGCGGTTTCCATTTACCCATAAGTGCATATATACATAAGTGCCATTAAATGTATGTATATAGGTATATATGCATGTATATAGTAAATATTATATATTGTTGAGTATTTGTTTTGTAAGTAGGTATGATTTAGATAATTTTTTTAATTAAATATGTATATAATTGTGCAAACATTATTAAAAGCTTGGTAGCCACGCTTTCGAAGCATGAAATGAAGCTAGAAATACACGTCAATTTACATACACAGAGTATAATTAATATTATATAATTATTTTTAATTATACTTAGAAGCGGGATATAATTTGATAAAAAACGAGCAAAATAGAATAAATGTATATTTAAGTCGTAATAACAAATACACTTGTATGTATGTATGTATTTATCTATTGTGAAAGCTTACTTATTGTTTTTAAGAGAGGAAAATTGCCCTGAAGTATTGTATTTAATAAAAAAAAAAAACAAAGCTCTGTTTCAACTATTGCAAATTGCAAACATATACATTCAAAAAGTTAGAATATTCTAGATTTTTTGAAATACAGGGTGGACCGGAAATTCTTTAACATTTGAAGCAATAATTGTATAGGCTTCGTAGCCATATTTCTGAACTTCTTTAGTACGCACTGCCGGCGCAAACAGAAGTTTTATCATAGATTAATGCAGAAATGTTTTGGGTAGTCTACTTTATCAGAAACATAAATAATTGAGTGGCAGGTTGTGATGTCATCTGCCTCTGTTAATAATGATATTAACGAGAAAGTTAAGGAAACAGTGCTTGAAAATCTTACGGTCATGTTGGCATCAAAGAGTTACCATAGAATTTGAACATCTCTTGTTGATCGACTCAACACATTTTGGTTAATGTTTTGGATATGAAACGTGTCAATGCTTGATACGTACCAAAAGACCTAAGCCTTTTGCGAAAACGAATTTGAGTAGAGGTGTTGCTTGACAACACGTGCTTGACGAGACGTGTGTTTATGAATATGACGCCGAAACTGTACAACAATCTAGGGAATGGCGTTTCAAAAATGTACCGAAACCTAAAAAGTCAAAATTCACTAAAGGCACTGAAGACCGTCCCAGCCGAGGCTTATAACAAGGGTATGGGAAATTTGATTAACCATTAGCATGCTTGCTCAAGAGCCTATTTTGAAGGCGTGTCAGATTTGATCAAATGGTGTATAGATTGATTAAATTACGTTTACTGTTGAATACGGAATTCCGGATCTGGAATCATTATAGATATTTTGGTGTCCAAAGACGTTTTTGTAAATTATCATATTGAAACAAATCATCAGGATATTAGAAAAATTTAAATTTCAGACCAATTTCATACCTTCAAAATGTTTGATACTGAATTTACATGCATATGTGTGCTTTTATAGTTTTTTATTATTAGTTTATTAGTTTAGTTTTGAAAGCTTAACAAATACTAAATTTTGGGATTTCAGGTTCCGAAATCAAATTGTTTACACAGAAGTTTTTTTGCAACTTATACACAAATGATTTTAAGTTTGATTTTGGATATTTGCAGACTGATTATAAATTTTCAAACTGAACTAAATAGTACGTAAACATTTTACTTTTTATTAAGAGGTTATAAATTTCTTATTCCATGAGTGCGAATTTTTAAATAAAATTTTTTCCAATCGCTGTTTTCCATTTGTAGAGAAGGTTGATTGAGTGGTTTGGTCTTAACGCCAAAAGATTCAAATGAAAATTTAAAGAATTTTTATTTTTGTTTTGAAAGTTTGTATGTTCATCCTTTTTTGGCACTCTTCCGACATTAAAATCGCAATCTGCTTGTTACAAAATCTCATTACTTGGCAAAGAGAACCATTACTAATACCATTACTTGTAAAAATTTCATAGGTCATAGGTTTTAATTTTCTTATAGAACTTAAAGATGAGCTAACCGGCTTAGTTGCTAAATTTCATATTCAGAACAGATGTAGGTCAAGGATGCGAAGTTGCTGTATACATAAATACTAAGATTACATCATGCATTACTTATACAATAAAGAGCAGTTGCAGAATATTTTGCTTCACTATTGATTTCTCAACTTATGTTGAGAATTTTTACTAGTAACTATGGCTTATATAGTTAAGTAATTCAATTAATTGTTATTATGGAAAGTAATCACTATTATACCTTACATAATTAAGTAAAATAATACTCAAGGAGTATTTTGTAAAATAATTATTTTTTTGTAGATCTGGCAACATCAAATAACAAATATATGTTCGAGAAGAGAGTCAACTTCAAATAGGGAGGCATATCGCCATATATATATTTATGTATATGTACGAATATTTACTTACCGAGCATCATGATGCAATGGCGCATCATTGATGACGTCACACGTAAACCCATTACACCGTGTAGCATACGAAAGTTTTTCTTCTTGCTAAACTTGTCGAACTTAAACTTATTGATCGTATTCACTTTGTGAATAATTACCGCTATATTGCGCCAATAAATGTTCATACGCTTTAGCAAGTGCTTTTGAATGTTCAACATAAAATACTGCGTATGCGTTTGTATGGTGGGTGTGTGGGTGGGCGTGTACGTACCGCCGCCGACGCCGCCGGTTATGCCTACTACGGAACGATGCCGATAGTATGCACACATACGAATGTAGGCGCGATAGTCGCGCTGCCAAGTACGGTGTTGTTGTTGTTTTAGTTGCGCCACCGAACGCGAATGGTGCATAGCACTAATGTAGATGCGAATTGCTGTTATAACGGAACCCAATCGAACTGTGGGCTGCAGTTGTTTAGCAAACTTTTACGTGTTGTTGTTGTAATGTATTGACAAGTTCACGTTAACGTTTTACGCACGCGAAGTGTGTCGTATTATAGTGTGTTTGTAGGCGCGTTAATGTTTCTAGCCAAAAAGTATGCTAGAACTTTGCGCTGCTATTGCTTTTCACTTGCTTTCGTATATGTATGTATGTATGTATTTCGTGAGACAGTGGGCTTAACACTCAATTTCGGTACACAAAATATTGTTACGAGCTTGATTTGTAGCTGTCATGCATCTAGGTATTTTTATCTAAAATACTTTTTTTAGCACAAATAAAATTTGATATTAAAATGCGTCTATCGCAGAGTTTCAAACACGTTTCAATATAAATCACTTGTAACTGGGCTCTCAATATGTATTGAGAGTTTTGTTGTTGTTTTTTATAAGTGGTTAAAAAGACAAAATCTAATAACTTATGAAAATGAAATCTTTGTAGCGATGTTCACAGGCCGGTGATGCCATTGAGACTTTGAATTTATTACTAGAGATTCACTTGGTATATTTTTTGAGAAAACGCGTGGTGTGGTAATTATTTCCACACATAAGAATAGTTAAAATAAACACTAAATAGCTTTCAGTTTAACACTTTAATATATTCAAGCATTAAGATCACATGGAATTTTAAACGCAATTCAGAGAGCTTTGTGACGCTGCAGGGGCATGAGATTTGTTATTTAGCTTTTGCTGCTGTAGCAGTTGATTTGATTAATTTAAACAATTTCACTTTGTTAAACGTATGCGGTTTTATTCGATGTAATATTAGACGAACTCAGCAAATGCAGCACACAGCTGATCCGAATATTCTACGCAAATAAACTTTTTTTACTGCAATCGACACTGCAGTTGTCGACGACCTTTCAACGAACTTATGTTAGCTTTGCGGTTGATCTTTGTATTTGTGTAAATATTTATTTAGGTATTTAGCATTTATTTTCGATTGATCCACGTTGAATTTGGTTGAACGATTTATGTTTTTTTGTATTAAGCGAGCTTGCGAATGATTTGCCTTTTGCGATTTGAACACTTTGAACGTAAATATGATACTAAAAATATTACTGGGAACGTACTCGCTGCCAATGGCTGGTGATAGTGAAATACGAATTCCAAATTTCGTATATTGCGCGTGAATGTGAAAGTGGGGTTTTGCTGCCGTCACCGGGTATCGTTATGCCATAGACAACAACGTGGTTGAGCTGAAGGCAGCTGAGAAGAAAACGGGCGGGTTTTTGCTTAGGTGTACGTGTGTGTGATTAAGGTCACAAAGAGTAAACACAATATGCGAGAGTCAGTAGCCACTCTCTCGTTCAACTAAAGGCATGCGTATAAAAACATATACACATAGTTACACACATAACAACAGCTTTTTAAATATTGGCGAAAGGTGTGCCAGCGAAGGAAATTTTTACTTGTTATTTTTAAAAACGTAGTTTTTGAAAGAAAAATAGTTTTAGAGTGAATATGATCGAAACATTGTTGACTGGAACAATCTTTAATAGAAATATTTTTTATTTTTGAAATTTGTAAAACAGGAAGTGTTTATAAAAAGCTTAAATATCGTTTATATTTACATATATATATTTACAAAAATAGTCAGAACATTAAAGTCTTAGCTCAGAAGCCCTAGTTGGCAGTCAAAACATTGAAGTTGTAGACAATTTTGTTTATTTTGGAACCAACATAACCTGATGCAATTATCATGCATTGAAAATCAGTTCTTCCTACATGTGCTACTTTGGACTAGGCAAGAATTTACTTCAGAAGTAAATATCGCTATCATTCTTAAATAAGGTTCAGAATCAACAAGTCAATATCCGATTAGCCGGCTTTAGTGGAAATCGCATTTGTTTTAGTAAATTTTCTTATTAGTGGATCATTAATTTAACCTCGATTCTTGAAAATAAGTGTTCAAATCTAATTTTGCTCTCTAAATAAATATTGTCATAATCAAGTTCACATCATAATGATCATTGTTATATTTAAGTAGATAAGACTCTTATTTTAATTATTGGTCGACATTATTGGTAAATAAAGTAAAATGTTTACATACTATTTTCAAAATATTTATATTTTTTTTGTAAAACATATTTTCCTCGTATATTGAAAATCAATATTTATTTGTATAATGGCATTACATAACATTGAATTTTTTAAATACAGTAGAGCTATCATGTGCCGGTCTTCAACATACATATATGTATATGTAAGTACACGACTTGAATTTGCAATGCCATTGTTTGACAAGACAGCATTAAATATCTGTGAAGTTTACACTTTACTATCCAATTACCAAATTGTGTGTTTGTTTGTGGTATATATCAATACCGGAGAGCTAGTGGCCTGATTTTTTTTCAGTAATCTACGGTTAGTTTTTTGTAAAGGCTAAAAGCATACCATTATGAACAACCAACAATGACAACCCCAAAAAATTGAATTAAAGCTGGATAAGCTGTTGACCTTGACACCTTATGGAAAATTTTCTGCTGCCAGTTAAATTAAATTCTTGAAAAGTTTTATAATTTTCGAAAATAGTTGGTTTTCGGAATCTCTGCAATAATAAATAGTTATGCCGCTGGAGGATAGTAAAGTGCATAAAAATTGAGTGCAGACTTTATAATGGAGTCAAACTGAAACTTTGTTATCCTGCTGCATTCTTATAATACATAATTAATTTATCGAAATTCTAAAGATCAACAACATATATTATCGAATATTATTATAGAGTTAATAGAATACTAATTTCTAAAAGTATAAAAATGATTCTTTATTTAAAAAAAATTAAGAAAATATGAAAATCGAAAAAGTATATTTTAGTTTAGATGGGTATTAAACCAAGTAGTTTTCTTTCTTTTCCAATATTTCTAGAAAATATTTATTTACCAACGTGGCAACATCATTACCTATTCGTCTCTAATTTCTCATACATTATCTACTCAAGTTCTCATTAATAAATACCATTTATTCAATACATGTGTATTCTTATGGAAACAGTGACAAAGAGCACTCTCCACTGAGCGTGTAAAAGTGCGAATTGGAATATTGGCTCGTTGCTGTGCAAAATCTTTTCGCTTTATGCTTTTAAGTTTTTCAAATTGCTTAACTTGAGAAATTCAAACTATTGTCTTTGTAAAAACTCTATACGAATATTTCTGTTTGGGCAGCTACCCGTATATGCACATCTATGTACATACATATGTATTTATATAGAGAATAAGAAAATTTGCACTATTTGGCTTTTGACGGATAAAGTACAAGTAAATTTATGATGAAATCGTTTACTTCATTACACAAGACTTGTTAAAATGTAGCCAAAATGTTATATTACAATCCTCATCAGCTGACTACCCATGAGTCACTTTACCTCGTTGCGTTTTACAACAGCTGCATTAAAAGCCGAGTGCAAATCAGTCGCATTATTGTTGCAGACAATATTGTTGTCAAATGACGGCAACGAAATACATACATACATTTAATATGTATTCGTACCGCACTCACGTGAATTTTAAATTTAAACTTAAAATGTCTGGTGCTCACAAACTCATGAGCAAATTTTGTTAGGAAACAGACGATGGTCAACCACTGAAATGAATTAATAGTTTTGTGGAGAACAGGTTTTCATAGTTCGTTGGAAAATTTTAAACCGATTTTTTTTATCTGTCGGAATTGGCGATATTATTCGTATCTTCAAAGTTTTTCTGAGGCATGATTTTTGAATTCCAAAATTATATAAGTAGTTAAATGAGAGTAATGAGTTTGTAAATAAATTGATTCGATTATGGGATTTTTGAATAGGTAATCGAATTAAATAAGATTCCAACCTAAAATAAATTAATAATAGAATTTATAAAAATATATATGCTTCAAAATATTTTATTTGTTTCTAATATTTCAATAAAACAACCAACAAAAAAAAAAAATAATAATAATAATACCCAATTCATCGAGAATTTATGCTTGAAGGCGTTTGTTTATGAATGTATCGGTTTACTCCCCTTTTGTCACGGATCCTCATCGAGCAATGTCACCAAGGATTTTGGCCTGCCTTTACGCGGGCGGTCGTTAATTTCGATATCGTCGTCTTTGACGCGACAAGAGCAATCACGGCAGGTTGTTTCACTTGAGGTAGCAGCTCCGTAAACTTTTTGGAGTTCCCGATGTGCTTCAGCTGCCGATTTCTTTGACTGAAGAAGAAAATCAACACTTTCCATAAAGGGACATATCAAAATCGATTACCACTAACTGCTGGAGCCATCTATTGACAAGCAGCGGGAACTTAGTTGCGCACCATAGGATTTGTTTTCTTTAAAACTAAAATAATCGAATCATAACGGTACTTGTTTTTTCAAGTCAAGTGTAATTATTCTACTTTCTAATAATCACCGTACAATCAAAAAGTGAATCTTTTGCCCTGTTATCTTGCCATTTTTGAATTTCATTATTGATTTCTAATCAGATTATTACTTAAGTGATAAAATACTTTTAACATCTTATATACACATATCTTCTATATTATATTTACAAATACATATTTACTTATTAACATTACACATTGACAATACATTTTGTAGTATTAGTT